TCATTCTTCAGTTTTGGCAATGTTTTTTTTTTTGCACTTTAATAGTTTCATAGACCGTACCTTTTCTGATAATATTAAAACAATTTGGGTACCTTTTCTTTAGTTATATTAATTATTATATATTTCTATCTTAGTACTTAATTATATTTGAATTTCTTTTATATGAGATATTGATTTAATTTGGGTAGTCATTTTTAATTGATATCGAAACTAAATGGAAAAATTGTATATACTACTACTATAAATTATTTAATTTAAGTCAGGCTCGATCAATGAACTATTTCCTTTATGCAGCAATACCAGCGGTTGCCCCAGTTTCCGATTTGTGTTAGAAAAAGTTAACTGCAGCAACTCAATGCGTCGTTATTGACCATTTGTATAACATAAAAGCAATTTGGTAACCAAATGTATATAAATATGTACATAGAAATGCATATTATTAAATGGAAAGATGCATTATAATTACATTCTTTGTCATATTCAATTTTTATGAATGAAATAATATTTAGAGAGAACTAAAATAAGTTCTCCCTCAACCGTAATTTATTGAATTCTTTCATTGTGTGTACTCTACATTTAAAGACAAATGATATATACTATACTTTATTCTTTCCAATCAGCATGTGTTTTCCCACGATTTGTCAAAACACAATTACCAACTAGTGTGCCCAGAAGCTTTCTAATGCGCTGGCTCTTCGACTGTCCAGCAGTTCTGCCGTTGAGCATGAAATATGTTTGAGGTGCACCTATACTCGAATATACGAACGTATCCAAGTACCTGGAAGCTTGTGTACTTATGTGTTTTGGATTACTGTTCAGCTTAGTTTGGTTTTGTGTTACGATTAAAGGGCTGTCTGGCTAGCTGGTGAGCTTGGCTAAGAACCACACCTTGGCCGCTTTTGAAGTTTCGTGCTGCCATTGAATGAAATTATGCCCAGTATCAACTGCTTCATTTACTCTTGCCCAAAATATTTAGCTGGCGTGTGGCGCGTATTTAAGTTCAACTCTGAACCACTGCATTGCAGCTATAAATTGTTACAAAGTTTCAGCAATTAGGTACAAATATGTTGTACAAGTTGTGCTCCGCAACCACAATACAGCAACAACAACGACAACACTGCGGGAAAAAAGCAAAATAAATGCGCTTGCATGTTTAAGCCGAATAATACTAAAGAAAATGGTCGTAGCCATTGTTATTGTTGCTTTTGTTGTTACAATCTGCTGTTCTCCTCCATATACATATATACAGGCGCTTGCCATTTGCACCATTTTTATGTTGTTCAACTTATTGTTGTTGCTGCTGCTGTTGGCATTTTTGCGGCATTAGTTGGAAATTATAGGAAACAAATAACGCTCGGACAAATGGCAGAACTGTAAAGGAAATGCTTAGAACGACAGAGGGGAACTAAAATTAGCTAAAAGTGTGCAGATAAGCTTGCAGAACCGAAGGAGCGTTTGGGGAAGAAGGATCAGAGTAACGATAGTCAGTGTGGCATAAACTTTAAGATGTTTAAATGAAACGATTGTAGGGAGCTGTAAACGGGTATATACGAGAATAGATAGTCGTAAATATATTGGAAGGGGGAAGACCACGCTAAAGCTATTTATATTTAAAAATTCAAGAGAAAATGCTTGGTGAAAAATAACTTAAAGTAAGCTACAATACAAAAATAAATGCACCTATTTCCATAACAAGATTACCAGATATAATTAAAATATAACGATGACGAAATACTAACGACTGCAATTTATTTATTATTTTCTAATATATACAGCCTTTTGTATTATTACTATTTCAAACAAATGATTACTCATTTATATGTTAAACAAATTCTTAAATTCCAACACTTTAGTGATAAAGGGGTCATTAATTTCATATTAAAATTAATTAAGTAGCGATAAAGCGATAAATCAAAGCATTGCAAGGGTAAAAAATAGCAATAAGCCAGCAAAGGCACAAATCAAAAAGGCATAAATATTCCCTGCATACGATAAATTTCTAAACAAATAAAACATAATTGATATTATGATTTATTATGTCAATATACTCGAACTGTGTGTGTGGGATATTGTGTGTCCCTTTCATTACCAATTACATAAATTAAAACACAACTCACACAACAGCAAATCAGCTGAATAGAAGAAATGCACAAAGCAGCAGAAAAAGTGCATTTATGTCTGTTCTCGCAATTGGCATGGAATTTGTGAAGTAACAAAAAAATCAGAAACTTCAACAATAAATATAAATAACAATAAATTGTCATTTTGACCGCAATGAATATAAATAAAATAAATGCAATGAAAAAACAAATGCGTACACACCTACACAAAGGCACATACACACTCTCCCACAAAGAAGCAAACACGTTGGCATTTGTTTCAACAAAAAAGAATGATATTGGCCGAAAGGAAGGGAAAGTCAACAATTGTCATTGTCAACTGGCTGCCAATAAATTGCATTATTAGAGAATACATTTAGGGGTCTGACAATTTCACGGCAGAAACTGTGGAAGAAGTAGCTGTGTTTGTGTGAATTCAACCACCGTTCGTGTGAGACTCGTGTAGTATGAAGAAATACCCTGCAGTTCTAATACTGAATGTTAATCCAAACATGAGAATACCGAATGTGATGCTAATTAGTTGAAAGAGATGCGAACAAATAGGCTTAAGTTCCCCGACGTAATTAGAGGCTTTGAAATAAAATGTTACGCATGCTTTCAAATTAATCGAAATATACAATCGCTCTGATAGAAATTAGAGAAAATAACAATCAAAGCAAAATAAATATAACTTTGGAGGACATGTTTAATTGTAATTACAATATTTGATATTCATATTTCATTTAACAAACGCTTTAGATAAGTGCTATATGTAGAGCCAATAAATATTGGGATCGTATGTGTATTTTGCGTTACATCATAACTGTTTCCAAAACGCCAAAAGATCAAGATCAAGATTTTGATTCTGTGGCTCTAATGACTACAAAATCATTCCAAAAGCAACTGAAATGTAATCAACTGTCTCCTAATTAAATATTTTTACCTGAGATCTTTTCTATACTGCTGCAGTTTTGTAAAAATTAATGTGAAGAATAAAGGGGATTGGTTGTTTTAATAGTTTAAATTGAGAGCAAGTATATAGAAAATATCACTCTGAAAATATATCAAAGTTGCACGCAAAAAAATGGATTCGTAAACTCTATAACTTGTACCGTATGTTTTATGATTGATATGTAATTTAGAGATTTCTTCAAGAAGAAAGCAAAATCGAATATGCAATGTTTAACGTATACTCTGAATAATAACAGTCTGTTTTATTTAATGGGTAATTGCTTTCTATAAGAATAAGAGTGATTTTCTCGTTCGTATGGAATACTCTTTACGATAACAGGGCAGTTTGCATTAAATAGTTGGAATTATAATTCAGTTTCTAGATTTATTTAAACTGCCGCAGTCGGTACTAGTTGCAGGAACTTCAGGGCATATTTGTGGGTCTGTTTAGTCGTGCGTATTTGTTACAGCTCTTGTCAACATAAATAAAATTAAATGAATAGAGTAAGGCGCTCACACAGTTACACACACACACCCACACACACACACACACACACACACATACACACTCACACAAAACTGTCACAGTCTGCCAATGTGACCATATCATTTAATGGATACACGTAAGCATCGGCGCTCGCTTTTTCCTTTGGTTTTGCGCTGGACAAGTGGAAATTAAACGCAATCGTTGCAAACAAAGACAAACACATACGAGCACACTAACAATTGGCCGGGCATTTCGCTTCCGTTCTGCTTGATTATTGAAATCTACCAGCCCACAATCGCAATCGCAATCACACACACTCATGCACACACATTCGCACTCAGAGACGATGACAGTCGCCTGCCTATTCCCATTTCGACAACAGCAGCTTAAGACGCCATTCGCCATTTTGTGTACTTCTTTGTGCAACTTTCATTGACTTTGCTTTGTTTTTTTTTTTTTTATTTTTGCCAGTGTTTGCTTGGCGTTTTCATTAGCTGCGCTCTTTTGTTTCATTTCCCTTTTTGTGTCCCGATTTTGCTTAAAAGCATAAGCACAAGATAAACGATTGGGTTGGGAAAGTGTGATTGTGTGCGGGTGAGTTGGAAAAGGTTGACAGAAACAGCAGAGGGCTACACAGTGAGAAATCAGCTTCGATTTGCCAAACTAGTACACTTTGTGCTTTTATTATTTTAGATTTATGAGGCGAATTTTGTTGAGTGGGAATGTATTGGAATCATTTGAGACTTCTTAAGCTCAAACAATTGTAAATAAAGTTAACTTTTTACTTACAATTTGTTTTCAATAATAAATTCATGACAGTAAAAGGGTAAAAGGGATAGAGCTTTCAAAATAAATCAGCCCCATTTTTATTAAAGTATAAGGTTTAGGATTTGTCGAGTAGGATTTGTTTAGTTTTTGGTATTACTTTGAAATGTACACATTACTGCTCATGAAAAGTTGTGTTTCGTATGAAAGAAAGTATAAATGGTCCCTATTTCTTGCCGTGCACAATCCAACTCACAATGCAGAACTTCTCCACCTTAAGTTCCTGTTTCTTGCACATACTACAAATGGCCTTGACATTTCTTATGCTTATCGTTGTCAGTGCAGGCGTTGAAATTGTAATTTGTTTAATCTCAGTGGGCGCAGGCGTAGACAGAAAAAAGGAGGAGGAGGCGAAGAAAGAAGCAAGCAGAAAAAAAAACGTGTAACAAAGAAACAAAAGCTGTGTTTACCTGTCGCATCATGCGTGTGGGTGTGTGCGTGTGTGGGTGTGGGCAGACATGTCTTCATTAGAGTGTGAGTCAGTCGGGTGAGAGGACGGTGTTGGGTTGAGACACTTAGCCTCCCAGAGGAAGTTGCTGTCTTCTGTTGCTTCTTAATTAACAACAAAATAATGCTAATCCAATGTGGCAATGTAGACGAAGACCAAACACATTTGCGCTTGCGAAAAAACTTGACAATTATATTAAAATTAATTTATTTATTTACTTCATATCGTATAAATTACATTTAGAGTGGCTGGCGCTGCCAGCAATGCTTTGCAGCGCTTAAAACGTACAGAAAAAGAAAGCACATTAAATCAAAACGTGTGTTTGTTTTTAACTCATTTCTTTCCTGTGTTGAGCTGTGTAAGTGTTTAAGTGTGCGTTTGTGTACGTGTTTGTGTGAGCGGGTGAAGCAGATTTGTCACCTTACATATGACGCGTGTTGCCAAAACCACCGTGACCCGACTGTGAGGCACCCTTGTTGAAGCCCATCTGCAAGTTCAGTTGACCCTCATGAGCACGCAGTTGTTCTTCGGTGAAGCTGCGCTCGTTCTTATCGGACATTTTCGGTCCCAAGGTAGGGCCTTTGAATTCGGGATGTTTTTGTGTCTGCAAATACATAATTTATTTATTAAAATCCATTTTATAGATTACGTTTATCTTATGTCAAAGAAGGGCTAAATTAGGAAGAACGTAATTTAGTTTAGGTATCATAGAAAATTTATGTTTTTATTTAAATACCTAGTGCCATCTAATAGAATGAAGCTTTTCCATTTTTTTTCTCTTTTCTATCAATTGCAGTATTGAAGTCATTTTTTATAAGTTAGCTTAAACTTTTCGATCACATTGAAAATCAGGACTTGTTTCGTATAGAGAGCAAAAAGAACAATGACGATTACCTTCATTATTTAAATACATATTATATTAATTATATTTGAGGCACTTTATCTTTTTATAAATTAAATTAAAAATATATATTTTTAGCTATATTAGCCTTATCTATTTCTTGGTTACACGATAAACATTATTTTCTTCCTTTGCAAAGTACAGACTTTGTTTATAGCCTATAAAGATCTTTTGGAGCAAATCAATTTGAAACATCCCAATCCTGAAAATACTGAACTCTAAATTAGAGTCTTTCTTATTTCTGGTTCTCTTCTAAAACTTATTTCAACATTGAAAGTAGTTTGGAATAAAACTGTTTAAAACAAATAATAATTTGAACTGTTAAGAATAACGAAACACTACAGACAACTAACTTAATTCTTTTACACATATGATAAATAATATCTATAAATAATTATTAACTTACGATGCGGCCCAGAGCGTAGAGCGACAGCGTCACTTGTGGAATATTGCGACGCTCAAATAAATCGGCAGTTTGGAAAATTTCCTCCTCGGGCACACCGTACTTCTTGACAGCGGCTTGGAAGCGCTGAATGTTCTCCATCAGTTGGAAATTGGTGCCACGCTCCTGGATTTTCTTCACCGAACCGGGTGCCAATTTGTTGATCAACTTGCACAACCAAATGCCGTCCTTCAAGATATCCTCATACTGGCCGCTGGGAACTTTCTCGCCCAGTACATCGAATATCCAGGTAAGCACCTCCAGTTCCTGTTCCTTGTTGCGGGGCTGAAAACATAAAGAAAATAAAAAAAAAAAACAAATTGATTAACTAAGTGCGGAGGAATCAATATGCTGTAATTAGATGTAATTGAGCAGACATTTTAAAAGCGAATTGTTCGCAATCTAAAAATAAATAAAAGCAACTCTCAGCCTCTGACTAAAGGTCAACAGTTGGAGCTTAATTTGTGTTTTTCACTTGTTTTGCGTGCCGCAAATTAAATTACGCTGGTCTAGCTTTCTAGCTGCTGCTGGATACAATGATACCCGTCCAACTCAATCCCCCTGTCCTGTGAAATGGGGCCCTTGGCCAAATAGCGCTTAAGCTCGGCCATATGGCCGGCCACCCACATCAAACGCCGCGACGGGAACGAAAAACGAGAAACGCACAATGCTTAAGCATTTTATAAGCCCCAACATCAGTGATAGTGACAGGGGGTGGTGCTAGCGATGGGTGTGGTACGAGATGGTGATGTGCTTGAATGGCCAAGCGGACTAGTTGATTATTGGAAAATTGTACGAGGAAATTTTACTTTCAAAGCAACTTTTTTCATACCAATACGTTTTTTTTTTTAATTGAGCATTTCTAATCCCTATCTACTAGTTTCGAAATGTTTACTATCCCGAAATAACCTGCAATGCAGTAACTTTCCCTTTTGAAAAGATAACATTAAAGAAATGTTTATGATATACATATATGTATTAGAAGTATAGGCTCGTTCTAAAGGTTGTAAGATCTTAACCTGGTTTGGTGGCTTTGATTATTCAAATTTTATACAAAATCTAATTCAAAATAAATATGCCAAAAGAAAACCTTTTAATATTAAATATCTGAATATCTGAACTTTGTACTTAGTTGAAATTTTGTCTTCAGTTTGCAGATAATCCGACGGCAAGTCAAGAAATTATTAAATAAAAAAAACTGTTTTAATTCATATTGGAAATGAAAAAGACAGCTTGATTCCAATTTATAAGTGTAAATAGATTTGCATATATCTTTGGATGTGTAAGATAAGAGGGAAACAGTACAAAACGCAAACAGGAGAATGGCTAGCGAAATAAGAGGAACATCAGCAGAAGACCTGTAAGTCCCATCGTTGAAAGCAGTCAGTCATCAACCGTAATTCTAAGCAGCCGGTTGTGAAAAGTCGTGATCATCAGTCAGAAGTGAGCAGCCACTTAAGGAGTAGTTATCAGCAGTCGGTACTAGTCGTGAGAAGTCTATAAGCTGTTATTCATATGCAGCTGTAGACAAGACGTATCCACCACCACCGATTCTCGCATGTTATAAATATATACCGATTGGAAATATAGAACATTAAAGTCCAAAACGAATGCAATAAAATTGGTTTTCATTTCGTTTTCGGACTCAGCGGTCTTCCTCTGATTGATTTTTAATTTCATTCCGTCACGCCCCCATCTCTAAGCCCAGCGGCATGACCAAGAATTGAGAAAATACATTAAAAAAAATACATAGATTCATTTTCCAATTAATTAATTTCGATTTTAATGGCACCGCAGCGTCACATGAAAAGACCTCGCGACTGTCAGAAGGAGGGACGAACGTTGCGTTTTATGTGACAGTTGACAGTGAAAACCACTAACTGTTTAATTGAAATTTACGTTAACTGGCCAGCATTGTTGCTGTTGTTGTTGATATCGTATTGGTTCGTGCTCTTTAATTCATTTGCATGTTGCTTTAGGGAGGGAGTTGGGACATAGTTTACTGAATAATTTGACTAGAAGTAATAACTCTGGCGTTTGTTTGATCGTCAAAGTCAGGATATTGATATATAGCTCTGTATATACATTGTTGTAATTAACCCTGTTGGGTGCTTAATGAAGCAGTTTCGACGGCATTTGATTTTATTATGAGCTCTCCCCTGAAGCCAAATTGACACGATGAAATTCCACTTCCAAGAAATACGACTCGACACAAATTTTATGAGCCATATTGGCTTAATTGAATTTGGTTATGGTTGAACGAATGACCAAGATATTGATGTAAATTAATTGTAAGACACATGCCTTTGGCATTAGTCTTAATAAGTAATAATAAGCGAAATATGAACTCATTTAAAATTTGTAAGCTTATATATAAAGGCTATTTCGTTATAAAATGTTCATCAATTATGCATGGAGAAGCACTTGTGCATTATTTGAATGTAGAATAAAATATTTTTTTCTATAATAATAAGTCCTTTCTTTTTACATATTCGAGTTTCAGTTTAGTTTTTTATTCTTAGAATAATTCAGAACTTAGAAATCAGTGTTAATATAATTAAGAAAACATTTCTTAAATTACTATAATTATTAAAATTAAATTAAATTAAATTAAATTAAATTAAATTAAATTAAAAAATTATTATAAATTTTGTAAAGGAAATTGGTTCATTCACTTATTTGTAATAGGTTACTATATTTTAATGCTCATGCATGCATTCATTTATTGCCCGTAACAATCTCAATTGCTTCTTCATACTCCCCTTTCTGTAAAGCAAGATTATTTTTCTCATTTACCTTCACTAATTGAACGTTAAAAAGAATCTAATTAACCTCACGAGTTATACTAATTGATATCAACATTTTTTCACACAATATTTATATATAATTTAAATCCACAAGGGGTATTTGCATTGAACATATAAATAACAATGCTACACTGGGCGTATACGCAATGCTATTGATTGAAAATCGAATGTGCCGAACTCATTAATATTTTTGTATATTTTATGCTAATTTATTGTACAATGTTAACGCGCTTGTTTATATATATTTGTATATATTTTAAGCTGTCATTTGATTTGTGGCTGCATTTTAAAATCAAATAAATTTGGTTAAAAAATCAGAACTTACCGCATGGCCGCAAAAACCAAACCATGCGAAAAATGTCAAAATTTATACAAACTGTGTTTTGGTCGTGAAAAAAGAAAACACAAAAATAATGGTAAAATCGAACCATATAATTTTTAACAATTTAATTTGCACATTTGTGTGTTAGTGTGGGTGTATCTGTGTTGTGTGAAACAAAATTTGTTTCACAGGTTTTCACCTTTATTTTTTTATTTAAAAACAATGCAAAAATTTTACTGCTGCCACCTTTGTTGCTACGTTTTATTGTTGTTTTATGCACATATTTATTTATGCAGCTGCACCTGAAGCTCACTGATATTCTTCTTGTTGTTGTACATTATTTATTTATATTTTTTAACCAATGTTTCAGCTCTGCATTCTTTAATGGGGCCCACTGAACCGCGCGGTTTTTAATGAATTGTTCATCAATTTGTTGAGCACATCCCAAATGGTTTCGTTTTCATGCCCACTCATAGCAATTGCACTCATCGCAGTTTGTCCTTTCATTATGTATTTCATTACGGTCTTTTTTCTCTCCATTTTGTAAATTGAATATAAAAATAAAAATTTCATATTATGCATGGCCGATAGGTATTCACTTAACATTCCCACTTTCATGCGATAACTGATGTCTGGTGTCTGTGTAGTTGTTTGTCTGTTTGTGTGAATGTCTGTTTGTCAGTCTGCCTGTCTGTTTCTGTCTGCCAGTCTGTCTATCGCCGCCTGTTTTTCTCATTATTAATTGGTTTATCTGATTCGTCGTTGTGCTTTTATTTTGCAAGTTGCTGTTGTTGTGATTGTTGTTGTTGTCGTCACAGCTGCTAACATGCATTAAAAAATAATTTGTTGAAATTTGTAAGTGATTAAAGGGTGTGAGTAAGTGATATTGGATGAGAGTCAGCGTGTGGTATTACAATGTCCTTTGGTGCTGGCATGTGGTCGAAATATCGAGAGAATTGCTGTCGAAATATCGAGAGAATTGGTTGTGGGCGACCATAAGACTCTTTGGAGGTTAGAAATAGCTTTCGAATTACACATATAATTTAATATCGAACATATATTTCATTTCAATTTTAAATCCACGTTTATTCAAAATCGCTCTTGTATGCTGAACTTAAGGTTGGTTTGTTAATGGCAATAGATATATAATCGCTAAATCACAAATTCGGAAGCTTTGTTTGAAAGCGGTAAGATTTAATTCAAATAAAACTTTGATAAGCTTTAATTGTATTAGGTTTTAATCTCTTACTTGAAGGCTTTCTATCATTAAAATCATTTTATTTAACTGTGGTATGATTAGGAATTTCATTAGCCCAACCTAATCATATTTACATAATTCGAAATTAATTTCAAGGCATACTTATGTATACAAATCGAATAATATACTACTATAGCAACGAGGAATTCCTTTGCTGGCAGCAGGAAGTAAAGAGAGACAATAGTCATCAGCAGAAGCTATAAGAAGTGGTTGTTGCAGCAGCAGTTATTCATTCGTCTATAGTAGAAGAATATATAATGCATTGCCTTTGTTTAACTTAAATACTCGTTGTTTATTGAATTTAATTCATGTACTATTTACACTGAATTGGTTTTTCAAGTCGATTTTTTTCAATTATCACTTCTTATTTTAAGGCCTCTAGGTTACTTTAGCTTTTGATTATCTTAAGATTATTTTGATTTATTTGATTACGTCTAAATTTGGAAGACTTATGTATGTATATGAAAATTTCTGACAAGTGTTCGTTGTCAATAATATTTACGTGGCACAAGGTTTCATATTTAGAACTCAAATGTTTTTCTAATTCTGGCTAACACAGCCAACACTTTAAGTCCCTTATGAAAAATGTTAATGCCCAGCAGAAATTTATTTGATATTTAGCATTTTTATTTTGTAAAAATTCAGTTCCAAAACCCATTTTTTGTTGTGCACTTATGTGCGGTGCTCCCTCACCCGCCAGCATCGGTTTGGCCACAGAGCAACTAGATAGCCGTGACCTTCAAATAACCCGCTGTTTTTATGCTCGCCCCCGTCCATTTTTCAGCTGTTTGCCTTTTCCGGCCGCGCGCATAAATAAAAATTTTCATTTGAAGGCAAAGCTAAATGTTCATTTCTACACTTTTTTGCGCGAAATATGTTTCTGTGTGTGTGGGTGTGT